ATTTTGCAACAGTTTTGTGCATTTATTTTGTTATTTTTTCCTCTGACGAACCTTGACTAACTTACACATGACCTCATGATTATCAATTCAAAATTTTTCTTTTCAAGCAAATCATCCATCTCTCTAAGTATTTTTTTTTCTTCAGCTAATAAGTTCAGAGCTACTTCCAAAAAAATCCAGAGCAAAAAAAAAAATTTGAATGTTAAAAATTATATTTTGTTATTGAAAATGGAGAATTAACCCAAGCACCAAATCGAACCTTTGCATTTCAAAACTGTATAATACCCGAGGGTGCCAAAAGAAGCAGCTGGGCTTTATAAAAACGGTTATTCAAACCATTTAAAATATATAAACCTGGTTAACTCATACCGCTTGGAGATAATAGCACTGATCACTCGAGTTGATCCGCTTCACAACTGTATGTAAATCAGCTTTCGGTGAAACATCACACACGACTAACATTTTATCGTGAAACGGCAGTTGGCAACAAGCCAAGTTCTCCTGCGGGATTTAAAAATGGCTTCCACCATGCATAGACACGTGGGTTGTTGTCCAGAAGACCGACCCGATAGGGGCAGATGTTTTTTTTTTTAACAGTGGCAGTGGAACCGTGACCTAAAATTATTTCCTGAGTCTGTAGAGCTTTAAAACCGTCTGGTTGTCCATGGTTATTCTGTTTACGACGGGTGTAAGCTGGCGCTTTAAAAGTTTTCCATTTAAACACATTCAACTTCCTTTCGGGATCAACAATCCACCATATGTTGTTCAGGATGAATCAACGTTGATTTTTGTACCGATTTGTTAGCCAAATCCTTCGTTATGCTCTTATCATTAAATAACATATATATACATATACTCAGCAAATAAAGTACTTTTATACTACTGTCAAATGGACGAGAATAATGAAAAGTTACGAAACGTAAATGATAGATAGTATTCAGTAATATGCATTAAGAATCGATCTACACTTTCTTGTTTGTTTGTTGTATTTTAGGTTAAGACCACCAATATACTAACTATTGCTGCTATCAGATCCACCGTAAATTTCATACTTTTACGTCTTACTTAGTTACTAAAACAATTATATTCTTCGAAAACCTCGTTTAGGTTTTTAAGTGAAGAAAATCATCCTTTAAAATTCTTGTAGTAATACCGTTCGTGATTAACAATAAGACATGCTTTTTGAGCATCTTCAGATAAAGAAAAATGTGAAAATACATTTTATCATGTTTTGTTACAAGTACAAATACGTTTTATCAATTTTTATTACAATTAAAAGCATGTGTTAATATTGCTTGCTACAAGTAAAACGTGTGTTATAATTATTTGCTACAAGTAAAAACATGTTAAC